CTATTGCATTTATTTACACCTCACTTCAATAAGCATCATTCAAGACACCTGCACTTTACGATTGGCCATATTTATAAAAATATTGCCAAGATTTTTTTATTGAGAAAGCAGATCTCTAATGCTAATCACTAAAAACCATTATAAAATCAGCTGGTTCTTTTCATGTTATGTGCATTCATTTGTGACCAATATTAAATATCTGTTGTTCCCATGGTACTGTAACTTCTTTGCAGCCAAGCACAGCGATATTCTCATGGTAACTTCTTTGGTACCAAGCACAGAGCTATTCCCATGGTAACTTTGGTAACAAGTACAGAGCTATTCCCATGGTAACTTATTTGGTAACAAGTACAGAGCTATTCCCATGGTAAATTCTTTGATGCCAAGCACAGAGTTATTCCCATGGTTACTTTGGTGGGGCCCTGAGTGGTCTAAGGTGCTCACTCTTACATTCAATGTCAACCCATAGAACATCTTATTTGCAGAGTTCAGCATTAACTAAGCATGAGGTTTTAAACGACTATTTACTTGTGATTTTAATCCCAAACCTGCAGTGAAGTTAAAACTTAATAAAAAACAGAATTTAGTATAAAGAGTTGCACAAAAGAAAAAAGTGAATGGAATATTGTCTTTTCTTTTTCATAGCAATTTGTTAACTTAAGTAAAGTAATATAAAAATTTCTTGGTTCCTTTAGCCATACAAGATTTTAAGAATGGCATAATAAAACCATTAAGAAGTTACCTTATTTATGAATGGTATGGTAAAGCCATTGAGAATTGTTATCTGGTTTATGAATAGCATTAAAAGGCCATTGAAAATATTAATCTAGTTCATGAATGGCAAAGCCAGTTAAGTGTATCTGGTTGAAGAATGGTATGGTAAAGCCATTGCAAATTATTGTCTAGTTTATGAATGACATGGTAAAGTCTTTGAAAATTGTTATTTATTTGATGAAATTCATGGTAAAGCCATTGAGAATTGTTATGTTTGATAAATGGCATGGTAACAAATTTTCATTCCCCTTATTTGCCTCAGACTTTTGTTAGTTTATAATAATGCTAGATATTTCACAAAGTCAATTGGTAGCCTGATATTGGGGAAAAAATAGTGTGTACATAATACCCTGAAATACTGCAAAGGAAAGAAAGGATCTTGTTATTGACTTTACTATTTGTAGGGCTGGGACTCCAATTTGTAGGGCTGGGACTTCTATTTGTAGGGCTGGCACACAAAACTTATTTCAACAAAGGTATCCTCTGACAGGACTCCAACTGTTGTAAAGCACATATAAATCAACCAGTTTTAGAGAAATAGCAGTAAACTCCTCCAAGAAATATTTTGCTTTTGTGGGGATATTTTAAAAAAGTACTTTTAGCTTCTGAATTGAGGTTTTAGCAAGTGAAAAAATCCTGTGGAGTCTTACAAAAATTGTTGGATTCAAAATGTCGGTCATTCAGAACTTTTCTATAAAGGTTCTCTTGAAGACTTCTTTATTGTATGCCAAATCTGAATGCAAAGAAAAACCTTCAAAACATTATCTTCAGTAAATGCTTATCAACAATGGAATTTTGGATGATTCAAGAGGAAGAAAATATCATTTGTGATGAAAATGTGTTATCATGCCATAGCAGTTAAATGTCACTACAAAGGTATGCTGCTGAAACTGGAGGGAAAAATGTCCAGAAAATTTTCATGGAAGTCAAATTAGTCCCCTTTAGGAATAAATTACATTCTACAGAACTGTTTCATTAATATTTGTCTGTCAGACCATGCTGAAAGGATTATAGTGATGAAGGAAATAAAACTAGGACTTTAATGTCATGAAATAGTAAGTGTTAGAAAAGGCATTAAAAAGAGACAATTGTACAGTGTGCAATTTGAGATCATTTCAAGAAGCACCAATAGAGCAAAAGTCATACCATATATACATGCTTATAAAATGAGTCTCTGAAAACTGCACATATCCAGACCTGCTGTCATATAATGCTGTAGCAGATCTATGAGATTTATTAGGAGTAATTGGTGAAACAAAACACCCTGATGTGCAGGTCACAATCTTTGTTGCTTGCAGTTGACTTGACTTATAAGCATGTCTATATGGTAATTACATTACTGGATTTCTAAATGAATTCTGAAAAAGGTTCTCAATATAAAGATATCCTCGTATCACAAACTGCATATTAGTTCTATGTACACTGCAAACTGTTAAGAAAAGAAAATTCTGATTTTCACACTATATTATTTTCATGGAGTGATTTAAAATAAAGGTAGGAAACTTAATTTGATATTATTGTCATTGGTCAGAAATACCTCCACATAAGGTAATTTATTTACAGCAATAGCATATTTTATGTGAAGAATAACAGCTGTAGTATCTGATTAGTTAACATGGAGGTTTTGTGTCCTTAGATCCAGGTTGGAATCTTAGCAAAACAAGCTAAGTCAAGGTATGTCTCTGAGAAAGGCATTGTACTATATTTACCTTTGCACAAAACAACTTTTATGTTTATGTAGAATTATAAAAAGCAACCAGTCTAGTCAAAATTGAATAGTAGGACACCTGTTGATCTTATGATGCATCTATTGGTTTTAGAAAAAAATAAATAAAATGTTGCACTTAAACAACTCTTCCAGTCTTCCCAATTTAGCATCATTTGGATGATTTTAACTGCCCTCAATTTTGTCTGTTTCTGGTCTGTTCCATTGGGTTTTTTTTAATTTGTTTCTGGTATTGAACTGCACAGATGTCCAAGTGGTTAGAGCATCTGCCTAGGATGTGTGAGTTTTTTTAGGCTCAAACCACAGCTGAGTCATACCAAAGATTTATTAAATTGTTTTAACAGCTGCCTCGCTTGGCACTCAGCATTAAGAGGTTAGTGTTAGGACTGGTCAGCCTGGTGTCACGATAATGTTACTGGGTGGGACATCACGCTAAACTACCACCACACTGCAGCCATCATAGCAATATGACTGAAAAATTGCTAAAGTTGTGTTAAAATGCAAATCATATGTAACTTTCTGGTATTTATTTATTTATTCTACTTCTTGCAGATCTTGCCATCATCAGGTCAGCAGACTGTGGCACAAGCATTACTCAATCTTGCCCGCTTTCATCCCAGGGAACAATCATAATTTCATCAGTTGAAGAAATTTACTGTGAATTGTACTTCTTGTTTTAAGTTAGTTTCTAGTCTTAAATTCCTGTATACTGCGATAAATCAAGAAAATTTTCCTTTCCATAAAATTTTTCAATTTTCAGTTCAATAAGGATAACGGCAACAATGAAACATTTGTTTGAATTGATTAGAAAGATAATTGGTAGAAGGTAATGTGTAATGGATAGTTATATTTTTCTTTTTAAAGTATATTTTTTAAAAGCTCTTCAAGCACACACTTGTTACATCATAACAGTACATGGAACATTTTATTCATCTTGTAGTAATACATATTTGTCAAAGCTTAGTTAATCTCACATTGGAAACTGATTTTTGTTATTGTTTTTGTTGGGTTTAGTCTTTCTAGTTTTGCATAATTAGTGTATGGTCATCTGTAATTATTTTTATACTTTTATATTCATAGCTTTTTCATATGTGCATATAATTATAGAAACAAGGTTGTTATTATTTTGTTGGGTACTTAAAGATTCATAAGACGAAAATGTTGTTTGAAGAAGGTTGCTATTTCCATCTATATTGTGTATGGTTTGGTATAGTAACAACCAGAGTTTATTTAATTAACTACATGTATACACAACATTAGTGATACAAATAACCTCACAAAACTAGAAGCAATATTAAATATTCAGAGTTGGAGTAGATGTAATACAGTGAACGCTGTTCTGAAAAATGAAGACAAAAAATATGATTACATACTAGATTGAAAATTAGAGTACCGTATATACTATGTGCAACTGCAAACTACACAGACCCAGATCTGCAGTCACATAATGGGCTGGTAGATCTGGGGCTGTGCAGTTTGTTAGCAGTAGAACAAACAGCATAGACCTTGATATGTGGGCACATTATGCTACAGAAGATCAGGATCTTTGTTTGCAGTTTGATGCAACTTGAGTATTGACAGTAGGTACAAATTACAGGCAATACATTACTGATATGCCATGTATCCATACATATTTATGTTGTAGGCATGGAGTGCCAGTCTTGTAAATTTTCAAAATATCATGTTGGAGTTAATTCTCATACAAGGTTGTTTTAATTAGAAATTAGCTGACGTGTGAAAAGTGGGCATTGAACTTTACACAAGTTACACCAATATATCTAGGTTTGTGGGGTTTAAGACTAAAAAAAGTTTAATAAATAAAAGACCATGATCTGCTGCCACGTTATGCAACAGCAGATTATGATCTGTTATTTATCCAGGTTACCATATATACTCATTTATAAGTGGAATCAAACTGCAAACAACAAAACTCCAAATCTGCCATAGCATAATGCCAGTAGATTATGGTACGTATTGTTTGTTCTATTGATTTCTAACAAACAGCACAGACCCAGATCTGATCGTACATTATGTGACTGCAGACCTGGGTCTATACAGTTTGCAGTTAGACTTGTGTTATAAGCAAGTATAAATGGTATATACAAGTATATGCAGCTTAGTCAATTAAGGGATTATCAGGAAGGAATTATGGGACACAAATGTTCTAACAAGATTGCATAAAGAATTTTTCCATGGTTTTTTTTGTGTGGGCCAAATCAAATTGAGAAGGCCTGAGTCAATTTTAGGGTCATTATTTGCTATAAGACTGTTTAAGCAATTTATCCCCTTCATGAGGGGGTGTGGGGTTTGAAAAGCTGCCCACATTTTATATTCAGTTTTACCCCCTCTATTACCATATTATTTAAGGCCATGTCAAATGTTTAGTTTTGAATTTTGTTTTTTAGCCACAGTTAAGACATGTTTTCCAGTTTTGTTTTAAAAAATAAATTCACCTGAAGATTCATGTACTTTACACACTTGTGTTCATTCATGACAGCTCTGGTGGCCTAATTGGTTAGAACATCTGCCTCAGATGCAGAAGGGCACAGGTTTGAACCCTGGCATATCAAACATATAAAAATGGTACTAGCAGCTGCCTCATGTGGTGCTAAACATTAAGAGGTTAGAGTTAGGACTGGTTAGCCTGGTGTCAGGATATTTTAACTGGGTGGGAAATCATGCTACATGTCTGCAACATGTCACATTCCTAGACATCACAATAAACTTCCACACTGCAGATATTGTAGCAATATGACTGAACATTTATTAAAGCTACAATAAAAATCCAAATCTCACACACACGAACATTAATTTTGGGCTGCATTAGTCAGAAGGCAATTGTCAAGATACTAGTTGTATACTTCAAGTTTGTTTACCAATGTAAAGGGTTTGTGTCAATCTGTCCATCAGATACACCTTGGTTATTTTGTATTTAGGTCACTCACAAGAATCCTGCATAGATTAATCTTGAAGTACAGTATCATATGTTGGGTCACTGACTTTTTATTCAGCCATCTGACTGGTGGTTACATTTAAATCCATTTTCAGCATTATAAGCAGTAAATCAATTAGCTGTGTATTTGATTGCACATTGGTGAGGGTAAAAAGATTCCACTAGCAGTAGGTTAGTAACTGATTTATTTTTTTTAAACTTTAAGTAACTTTTATCAAATTTAGCATTTTTTAATGTATGAGGTCAAGGTTATGCAAAAATTGGATGGCAGGGCATCATTCTTTGAACACATTTCTGGGTTAATTTTTGTAATAACATTTGACACTTTCATAGAAAATGGGTTGACTGTAAAGGGAAGATATCCCAGCAACCTTAGTAACTTTTCTGTATGGGGTCATCTCCCTGAAGCAAGCTGTTCTTTACCACTACATTAGCTGTCTTTAAAACAAAAGCTAGGCAAATATATACACGCAGAAACCTTCCCATAATCGAAAGAAGACCAGCCTTATGCGCCATCAGACAAAAAGCATGGTTAAGACTGGCTAGCAAGATTTATTCTGTTGCAGATAAGTTTTGATGATTTAATGAAGCAACCAGATAGTATCAATGTAATCAAGTTTAATATTATCCTAGCAGAAGCATAAAAATAAATTTTTAAAACTGATTATAAAAGGGGAAGGTAAACAGATGAAATTTTTAACAGAACTGTGAAGGGGAAAGGGGAGATCGGGGATATTTATAACTGAACTCTAAATGGGCAAGGGAGGACAAGGACATTTTTAACTGGACTCTAAAGGGGGACATTTTTAATTAGATTCCAAAGAGAAAGGCAGAAGACATTTAAGAGTTCTAAAAGGGGAAATGGAAGCAGTTAATTGTTTGCCCAACTGAATTGAGTAATAGGCAATCTAAAAACAAAGTTCAGCAGCTATGGCCTCAGTGGTCCCATTTTGATATTCATATAGCAAAAAATCTAATGAACTGCAATCATTTCCCTTTCTAACAAAAATTTAACTGACAAAATTTGATGCTGCCAACTATTATCACATTGTAAATGTGTGTGTGTGTGTGTGTGTGTGTGTGTGTGTGTGTGTTCTACATAACCGAATTAAGCCACTTGGAAAGACAAATAGAATAAATGGTCATTAGGCTACATGAAAGATGGTATGGCACTGTCTGGTAAAATTACTAGTTAAACTTTTTTAGATAAATACATGAAGTTAACATCAGTGAATGAATTTACATGTGTATAAAGCATGCAATATCAGAGTTATGCAGCTTTGGTAAATTGTTACTATTTCAGTTCATTTTTTTCAGTTCTAAATAGTGTTAATATTTGTATTTGGGAAATGTGATGACAGTATCAACACACTTTGGGTAATTCTAGATCCAGCAATAAATATAACAAATGCCAAATTTTTAAAAAAACCTGTTACATTTCCCTTGTTTTTTGGTATCCAAGTTTGAATATATTAAAAAAAATTACTGTTTATTTTATTAAAATTTTAGATTAGTTTCAGATTAATGTTAAGTTTACTTTTTAATTTCCAGCAATTTTTTTAGTTATCAGGTTGATTAACTTTAATACTTTATTTTCTTTTTAACTTGAACTTACCATTTTTTGTATTTGCATTTTGGTTCAATCAAATTTGAAATTATTTGAAGAATCAACAGTTAACAAAATTGATTTAATGTTGAAACAAAAATTTAAGACATTTGTTTTTTTTTGGTTTGATTTAAGTTCATTGTAGCTGTTGTTAGTAGACAATGTCATATGGCCAAATGAGCTCATGGGTATCAATGTGACACTTGTGCATTTTCCATCTGTCAACAATTGCTGTATTAACTTCCCAAAACCAAGACCAGTTTCAGCCGTGTTGGTAGAAAGAATCCTGAAATGAAGGGTTGTCAGGTTTGTAGAACTAATGTTGATCCTTCATCAAATTTGTCCACCATTACTAACTAAAGAAAAAACTCTTTTTCTCAAAAACCACTTGGCAGTTTCACCAAAATCTGAAAGAAGGCATACTAATTTTAAGTTGTCATTTTAGATTTGTATAGGTGATGCTGATGGGCCCTCAAATAGGCCACCAACATTGGCAAAAAAAGGTTTAAAAAAAAGAACTTATAAAGAATTTTTCCATCACTGCTCTGCAGAATGATAATAAGAACCCTTGCATGAAGAGCTTTTGGATTTTCATAAGTGATTCCAGTACACCATCAAAATCTGGACATTACATAAAATACAAAAACATTAAATGACAACTTTGCAAAACCCATTCATCAGAATTGCATGAAGTACATTCACTCTTCTTATTTGCCATCAGATAACACCTGCCTTTACAAGAAACAAATGATGGTCTTCACAAAAAACTGCTTAACACAGAATTTGACCCCATTAAGATGTGCCACATTTAGAAATTTGGCAAAAGAATTCTTGCATGAAGGGCTATCAGATATATACAGATGTCATGAGAGCCACTAAATAAAGTAAAACCATTAAACTATAGAATAAATTGGCATTGAGACTGAAACCAGAAGTGACAAAACATATTCTACAAGAGCTATCATGCTTTTAGACATTATAATTGTAACATGTTTGAAAATCTTTTCCCAAAAGCAATTCAGCATAATTTTACTTAATTTCAGTGTCCTAGCTTTCAAGTTCTTTCAAATTTATACAGATTGTATGTCAATCCACAGTTGCAATTGGCTTTTGCTTTTACAAAACATTACAACTTCATCCAAAAAAATAAATAACCGAATTTGACTTAACTTTTACAGAAAATATCATGGCCTTGTAATACTGAGGAAAAAAATGCCATTAAACAAACCCACAGTAGCCCCAAAACAAATCATCCAACTAACCCTGATTTCTTGACAAACTGCTCTTGCATTTGGCAGTTAGGTGCATGTCAGTCAGGTAGTGTCAGGCCAACTTGGGCCTCTTGTGCCATGATGTTGCCATGGTTCTTAGGTGATGTATCCTTTACATCTGCATCGCCATATTTACCCAACACAAAGTTCACCCAAATGCAAACAGTATATATATCTAAATCTGCCACTGCATACTGGGCTGGTAGATCAGAGTCTGTGAGACTGAAGGATTATATCTACATTAGATCACCTGTTTACTGAACATTGTAACCTGATCAGATAGCACAGTGTGATGACAGATATTGGTCTACTATTTGTCACAGTTGTGATAAATATGGATACATGATGGTACACAGTTTGAAAAAGTTTTAAAAATACACATTTACAAATGTGTATTTTGTAAGTGCACAACTATTTTGTTATTTGATAACAATCATTTAATATCTACAAAAAATTGAATTTGAAGTTCTTTATAATTAATTTCAAAATAAAAGATCATTTGCAATTTAGCTTGATGGTTTTATTCCTATGAGATAGATCACTTATTGATTTCAGTGGTAAATCCAACACTTTGCTTTTTAATTCTTATACTTTCATCTTTGCTATTAAAGGTTACGATTTATTAAATCATTAACTAATAGCGCAGCGTTTATGGGGCAGGAGGTGGTAGCCTACTTCTGAGCTCTGTAGTGTTATGGTCCTGTTCGACACAAAGTTGGTGGTATTATAGAAAGGTAGACAGATGTAGCTTTACAATGACTGAATAATATGGATGTTCTAGTTGCACTACAAGGTCGTGATCTGGATTTGTCTGAATTTTAGACTTTTTGGCCTCAGATCTAAGACAGACCAGTCTGAATTGCACACAGACATGTGAACATTTCCAAAAGGTAGGATAAGGAATAAGATGGGCATTTAAAATGAAGAATGGTCTTGACACAAAAATGATGGGTCTATTAAGCAAAAAAAAAAAACAGAACTCCAATTTTTACCCTTCTGCTCATGCTCAGGCAAAAGAGCCAATGAAAAAAGTTTCTAACATAAATTGACATTTAAGTTAACCAAAAATATCTTGGAAGTCATGTATTATAATGTACTCGCATTTCAGGCAAAAACCTCCAGGGGTTGAATCTAGGATAATTAACATATTGGAACCTTGGCAAATAAAACTCTTGTACTAGAGGAACAAGTTTTACAGGTACTTAGCACCATGCAGAGCAAATTAACTTCTCAGATAAGTTGAAAATTGTACATCTACTTGAAGCATATCCATTTCTTTAAAATCACTAGTTTTCTATTTTGCATAATAAGTTTGTGTCTTTGATATAAACTGAAGATTGAGATACCATATGTCATAATTTTATGATCATACAAAATAAACATCCCAAGTATCAAAATTTAATATTCTAATACTTTATCCAGAAAGGACAAAACTAGCTTGAATCATCCAGACATTATTATTATACATTTTTCAGGTCGGATGGTATGCAGTGTTCTTATGGACTAAATCTTTAGGTGCAAAACTATCTGCTTCTTACAGCAATTATGCAATAGTCCAAATACTCTCAGGTGGACACAAAACTGAGAACATACATAAAGATATCAACTTGTGAAGACCAATCACTTGTCAGAAGCAAGGACTGAATCATGCAAACCAACCCACCATAAGCATAATTATTGTGATTATATGTGGCAAAAATGCATCATTTGTAAAAAGTATTGATGTCAGAATTACAGAAT